ATATATATATATATATATATATATGGCACTTACGCTGGAGCAGGAGGAGCAGCAGCAGCAGCAGTCATCGTTGGAGCGGCCGCTGCGAAGAACGCATTCTGGCGAGGTGGGCATACGGAGGAAGGCCACAGTCATTGACGACGGTGCGTCACGGCCATAATAACAGGTCAAGAAAGAGCGTTGGATGCTCGGATGCTGGCGCTTCTTCGTCGGCGGCGCAGCGTGTGCATCAGCGAGCGAGAGAGAGAGAGAGAGAGAGAGACGCAGAGGGGGCTGGTTAGGGATGAGACAGGGCAGGAGGCTAGACCGGGCTAGGCGCTGCTGCTCGTATGTTACCGCGGTGCGAGCGCGTGATTGGCCCAGCCGGGGCGCTTTTCATGACGGTTACGGTATTGGTATTCCCACCTGCATGGTGGCGGCAAGTCGTACCACGCTGCGACACGAACACAAAGAACGCTGCGTACACCTAAGTACATACATAACTCATAAGTAATAACTAATACCTGATAGTTCACCAGCCTGTCCAGGGCGCTCTGCAGCCTCGGCTGGGTGCGCGGACGTGTGTAGGATGTGCATTCGTTCATTACTCTACACATACAGAGAATACATACAGCTATGTATGCACTCGCTCGATCGAATGCATCGCCGTGCATGGGATTGCCCAGGGGCCGTGCGGGGTGCGACTATCTAGAACGTGATATAGTGATCTAGTCAACCACGTCAAGTCGACATGCTGACAAGCAGAGATCGAAGAATCTTCAAAGATTAAGGAAGAAGAGCCGTCAGTCGCAAAGTGCAGGAGCCTAGAAGAGTAGAGTCTAGAGGCAGATGCCCGCGCCATGCCGCATCGGGCCTAGCTGCATCGCCAGAAACGGCCGGCTGCAGCAGGCGGGAATGAAAATCATGGCGCGCAGTCGGAATGACTTGCCTCGTGGGCGAGCCATTCGTTCTTTGTTGCGAAGATATATTGTTCTCTGTCTCTGGGGCGGGATTGTGGGATGCTGTTGTTCTTTGTCTGCTGTTCAGAGTAGCAACAAACAACGCTGTCATGACTGACTGACTGACTGAATGAATGAACGAATGCATGCCTGCCAGAGCCATGCCCGAGTGCGCTAGTCCGCATCGGGCTAGGCGGCGGGTGTACGGATGTACGCAGCCCTAACTGGAATTCCATCGCGATCGGGTACGAGGCTACGAGCATACGATGTATATATATATATTTTTTACATACACATATATATACACATATATATACACATATATATACACATATATATACACATATATATACACATATATATACACATATATATACACATATA